CTTATCTTTTAGGCCTAAAGGAATGCCCGGTCGATATGCACAAATGTATGCTGGGTCAATGCATCGATCGACGTCTCGTTTGTGATGGACACAACGACTGTGGTGACTATTCGGATGAACTGAATTGCGACTTCGTCACTGGCAAACAGCGCAATCTAACCTGTGGCACACCGAACCATCCGATGTATCAATGTCCCAGCGATACGAGTATTTGTCTTGAGTTAAGCAGTCGCTGCAATGGCACCACCGAATGTCCACGCGGCGAGGATGAAGCAAAGTGTGGCGTAGTTTGTAGCATATACGAGTTTCAATGTAAATCCAATGACGAATGTATACGTATGGAATTCCGTTGTGATCGCGATAAAGACTGCACGGATGGCTCAGACGAATTGAACTGTGAACATTATAAAAATACTACCAGCGGTTTTGGTTCAATGATGAGCAAAATTAATGAACGTGCATGTGGACCGGGCATGTTCGACTGCCGCGATGGACAATGTGTGGAAATGTCACGTGTTTGTAATGATTTCGAAGACTGCGATTCCGGCGCCGATGAAGGACCACTTTGCGATACCGCCTGCAGTGCTGTATCTAATCGGCCGATTTGTTCACACAAATGTCGTCCGACGCCGATGGGTGCAGTATGCTCCTGCTATCCCGGTTATCGCTTGGATACGGATCAGCGCACCTGCTTAGACATCAACGAGTGCGAAGATGGTGAACCATGTGCGCAACTATGTGAGAATACGCTCGGTTCATACCATTGCAAATGCTATCCGGACTTTATGTTGCGACCGGACAAGACCACTTGCAAATCCATCGAAAGTGAGTCATCACTCATGTTCTCTACGTACAACGAAGTACGTAGCATGACGGAACAACCGATCACATTGCGCGTCGCTTGGGCGGTAAACGACTCGAAAATCGTCGGCTTCGATTTGAATGTGGATAAACGCGTAGCTTACTTCACCACCGATGTCGAGGATGTATTGTACAAAGTGGATATGGAGAAAGGTGTAGTTATGGGTGGCTTATATGTGCCGACACCCACAAAAGTTGCGGTGGACTGGGTAACAGGTGAGCAATGCAATTCTTAGCGACTAAGCGTGCGTAATACTTTCACACTTTTCTCTCACCATCCCTCAGATAATGTGTATGCCATCACGCGTTCGTCACAGTACGGCATTAAGGTGTGCTCATTCAGCGCCAAAATGTGCGGACTCATAGCACAGGTCAATCCACGCGAAACCATACGCGCGCTCACTGTTGACGCACTCAGTCGTCGGCTCTTCTATGTGACTGTACGTGCACAAACCTTTAGCACACCCACTTCGGTGCTCACAATGTCGCACTTAGATGGCAAGCAAATTGTTACGCTTTTGCTTAAAAGTGCTAGCTACATCACCGCCTTAGCTTGCGATCCCTACAAACGTCAGCTCTACTTTGTCGATATGCATACGAAGACCTTGCAAGCGTTGGACTACAAAACGGGCAGCAAACATATGCCGCGCACGATCATTCATAAGGGCAATGTCATCATGCATCCATCCGGTTTGACGGTCTATGAGAATCAGGCCTACATCGTGAATATCGGTTCGAAGGAGGCGGTGCATTGCCAACTCTTCGGTGTATATGACTGTAAAGCGTTCAATTTGAATATACTGAACGCCGAGGATGTTGTTGTCGATGGCGCTACGCGTCAACCGCATGCTACAAATCCCTGCAATATGGCTAAATGTCATGGGTTGTGTGTACAAGCCGATTATGGCTATGAATGCATGTGTGGCGGTAATATTGTGAGCGAACATGTACGCTGTGCAAAAGAGTATACGAATGAGATCGTGTCCAGCGCCCTGCTCAATTGGAGTCCACAAGACGAGGAGCACACATCGTCTGCGCATACCGCGGTCACAGTCATTTTGGTGCTTTTACTATTGGCCATACTGTGCGCCGGTTTTGGGTACTTGTACTATCGTCGCTACTCTCAGGGTCATCGCGATTTCAATATCCACCTGCATTTCCAGAATCCACTATCGGCATTCACCGGCGGCAGTGGAAAATCGACAGGCAGTGTGCAGCAGCAAAGCGGCATCAGCAGCACAACCGCCTCTTTTGAGGGAGACTTCGGCACGGATGGAGGGCACGAGAAGCGACAATATGTTCCGCCGATTTATCGATTTTTGCGCAAAAGCGGGAACAGTTCGCCATCGGGTGCGGAGATACTTCTCGAGGCGGCAGCGGTGAGTCCAAATTGAAAGTTAACTTTTCGCCAAAGTACCTAACCAGCTGATTAGAAGGAACGTAATAAAGAACGTTGTTGGTACTTTTAGCTTATGGTTCGACCCTAACTAGATAGTATTCCTTTTTTAAAAGATCTCAGAGTTCACATGAGGGTTTCAAAAATCTTAAAGTCGTATTGTCTACACCTTCGGTAAGTTTCGAAATGCGTAGGGTTTTGGAAGTTAAATGAAGTTAATATAACTAAAAATATCTGCAACTTAAATTAACGGGGTTGTCAAAAAGAGCGCTACAAAAATGGTTTGGGATATCAATGAAATTATTTATTCCTGTGAAAATACATTCGATGCCATTTTCTGTGGAACTAGATTTCTTTTGCATGACCACCACGGACACGCTTGCAAAAGTTCAAACGCTGAACCCAATTTTCGACGGGTTTCAAGCATAAATCGGTCGATACTGCTGCAATTTCACATTCGTTTTTCGTACGAAGTTCATCAATCGTCACTGGGTTGTTATCATGGACCATAGACTTGACATAGTCACACTGGAAATAGTCTAACGGCATCAAATCGCATGACTGAGGCGGCCACTTGATTTGGCCATTTCGTGAGATAACACGTTCACCAAACTTAGTTTTCAATAAATCGATTGTGACACTCGCTGTGTATCGAATCCATTCACAGTAACGTCCCGGTCTTCATCGTAACGGAACCGTAATTTTTTCGAGATGTAATGTACATGTGAATTGCTGCCTAACCAATATTGCATATTTTGTTTATCAGCCAGAAATGAGCCTCAAAGCTGAAGATGTTTTATCGCTGAAAATCTAGAACATTTTCATTTTCAAGTTGTTGCTCAGCCCATTTCACGAACATACGACGATTGTGGTGGTCAAGAGGCATCAGTTCTTGTGGCAATTTGATCTTGTAAGGATGTAGGCTAAGATCTTTTCGCAAAATTTGCCACAACGACGTCACAGAGATGCCCAATGCTTGAGAACGACGTGTGTGAGCCTGATTTCGGTCTTCTTCAATTGATACGCTAGCGGCAGCAATATTCTCGACACTATAGGTACTTCTTTGTTTCACTGGCAAGGGAACATTTTGTACTGTGCCTGTGGATGCAAATTTTTCCACTAGACGCTCATTTGTTGATCTGACAGGACGCTTAAGACCACTATATATTGGATGTAGCGCTCTTAAAGTTGTGGCCACTGTCCTTAATTAACCTGTTACTGAATTTTCTGCCGAAAAAAAGAATTTCTATTAAATAAAATCCGTACCACTGAGTAAAAAGGATAGGACAGGACAACATATTTTATTAAAGCCGTTCTATTAAAAGAGAGTCACGCTTTTATCCATGAATCATTGTTCCACAGCTTCATATATTTCTGGCCATCCATCTTCACAGAGTCTATGGTAATCTGACGAACGTCTTTGCTACTTTAATATTGATCAAGCTAAGAGAACACATACTTGTATATTTCAAACTGTTCTCTAATAAGACGGACGATTTAGACTGCGTCGTACAAAGTGATCAATCTTACAATCTCTCTCACATAAGATTAAGCAGACTTTCGACGTATTGACTGTTGCTAGAAGTATTACGTCTTCAGCAGAGGTAACGCGGAAAACCAGAGATTATTCGAAGAACGACTTCCATTAGATCAAACTTTCTATACCATTGCGATTTGAGCGCCAAAATGTAAAACATGATATGTACAAAACGCAGTAGACTAGAGCTTTTTGTAATCAAATATAATATAAATATGTACACTAAAATTCTTCAAAAATATATCTTCTATTAAAATTTTTTTGTAATTTCTCTTCCAGCCAACCGCCGAAACAGAAGGGTTGGCGCCATCTCAACGAACGCCCAGCGTCCAAATGGAGCGAGAACCTTTTTATGCCACCGCTGGCACGATCCGAGTTCAACATGGTGATGATGATGCCACAGCGGACCTTGTTCCCTAGATAAACGCAGTACCACAATATTTCTATTTTTTTTAGAATTTTTTTCTAGATTTTCTTACAGAATCTACAAGCAATTCCCCAATTATTGTATTGTAAGCCATATAGTTTTCCTGCATGTTATTATTGTAGTTATTTTTATTTATTTTTGTAAAAAATGTAGTATTTAAACATTTTTCTTGTTAAGCTTTCTAACGCTTACATATTTGTTATTTTTGTAAGCACATTTATCGCTCAGCTAGGAACAACAGTAAATTTCAATAATTAGTTATACATAACGTTGGTTGGTTGGTTGGCTGGTTCTTCGCTTTAATTTTGTCTTAAAATAATTTATAAACTCTTTTATTGTTATCTGTTGTGTTTTTGAAAAATATGCCCCGTCCCTGAAATGTCTTTAGGAAAACAAGTTATGAGAATGTAAAATCCAAAAAAATTAATAAAATAACAGTAAAACGCAAATATTTTCAAAGCTTCTTTTGGAATGCAATTTTTATTGAAAATTGTACGAGTATTATGAATAATTTTGGTATTTTTTGAAATATTTGATTTGCAATATTTTTTAATGTAGAAATATATATATATTTTTTTTTTAATAAAAATCTTACATATTTTTCAAATTTTTCAACTCTTTTTATATATATTTTTTCACAAATACGCTTAACTAATTTTTTTATAAATATTTTACTTTAATTAAATAGTTAATACATGCTTAAAGACTATTATATTATATATAAGACAAGTAACATAACTTTTCTAAACTTTATCTTCTCTACAGATTATTATAGTATATATATAACCAATTATTACAATTATATAACATAACTTTTTAAAAATTTTGAATATTCATAAATCTACACTTAAACTAATGGCACCAATATTGATCTGGCTAAATATCTATACTAACTATACTATATAACAGAAGACAAACACACTCCACTCCACTAAAGCTCTTAATTGACTACCCCACTTCCCTCCAAAAGAAAAACCCGCCAGTCAAACCTTATGACGACTTGATGAGCCGTTGACGATTCTCGTACATCGTGCTCGTATTCTGCTCGGCATCAGCACCGACCATGAAGTGCGCATCGTTGCCCTCCTTTACGAGCATGGCCAAACATTCGCGGAAAGCTTGCAGGAATTGATCGGCATTCTCCTGATTGAAGCACATGGGCGGCTTTAGCTTAATCACATTGTCATTGGGTCCGTCGGAGGAGACAAGCACCTTATGCAGCGTCTTCATGCGATTGACAACCCAATGCGCCGACTTGGTATCCGGTTCGCGAGTCTCACGATTTTTCACCAACTCAATGCCCACAAAGAGACCCACACCACGCACATCACCAATGATGTCGAATTCCTTGCTGAATTCAAGACATTTCTTTAGCAAATAATCACCAACACAGCGTGCATTCTCCTGCAGACCCTCCTCTTCGATGACGCGCATTACAGCGTTAGCAATGGCGCAAGAGACCGGATTTCCGCCATACGTGTTAAAGTAAGCCACACCGGTGGCGTAGAAGGCATGCGCTATCTCTGGTGTGGTAACCACAGCACCAACTGGATGACCATTCCCCATTGGTTTGGCCACCGTTACAATATCGGGCACAACATCTTGCGTCTCGAAGGCCCAATAATGTGTGCCAACACGTCCGAAACCGACTTGCACCTCATCGGCGATGGTGAGACCGCCGGCGGCATGCACAGCATCGTACACCGCACGGAAGTAACCGGCTGGTGGTATGATTTGACCACCGCAGCTCTGTAGACTCTCGGCGATGAAGGCAGCTACACCTTTACCCTGCGCTTGCAATTTCTTGCATATCTCCACAATGGGCGCACAGTAGAGTTCGGCCATATCTTCGCCAGGATGCTCTTTGTCGACATATTTGCCGCGATAGACGTCGGGGCAGTGCGCCACATGCACATAGTCGGGCTTCGGTTCACCGCCAGGTTGGTTGAATTTGTACGGTGAGACCTCCATAACGGCGGTCAAGTGGCCGTGGTAGGCGCTAAAGGGAAAAAAGAGTATAGAGTTAGTACATTTATAACTTGCTTTGTTTAATTTGGGCAAACTTACTGATCGAGTGTGATCACATCGCGGCGTTTGGTGTAGTTGCGCGCCAAACGCAAAGCCAAGTCGTTGGCTTCTGAGCCGGAGTTGACAAAGAAGCAGACCGACAGATCGCCGGGCATTTTACTAGTCAACGTTTTGGCGCATTGCACGAGCTCGTCGTGTAAAAAACGATTATTCGTCGAGATGGTGGCCATTTGAAGGCTGCCAGCACGCACCACTTTCGGATGGCAATGACCGACTGGAATGAAAGAGAGAAAAGAGGAGAAGATGAATTAAATGTCTTGAAGTAAGCTAACTTTCTTAAAAGTAAATTTCACTAATGTTATATAATTAGTGCGTTTGGATACTACTATCTTGATCCATACTCAAAAACATTACATTAGGCGTTGCCACCTGCTAAAAAATTGGAATTAAAAAAAAGTAATAGATGATATAATTACAACTGAAAGGGTATCCAACAAAAAATATTAAAAATAGTTTCAGTTAAAAGTTGCAGACACGAACGTTGCCACCAGCTTTAAATATTATTTTTGGTATTTTCTTTATATTTTTGAAATGATCTTTATTTTAATGAAATTATCAAACTGAGGACGTTAAAAACGCATTTATTTAAAAATATTTTTGATGAGTGTTGCCACTTATGTATTAAAAAAACAAATACTTAAAAAAAATTATAGGATTAAAATTATTTTATAATATAAATTATAATTAAAAAAGATTTATTTAAAAATATTTTTGAGCAGTGTTGCCACCTGATAAAAAAATTCTTAAAAAATTTTTATTATTAAATTTTTTTAATATAGCCATCGAACTAAGAAGAAAAATTATTTTAAAAAATTATCAGCGTTGCTACTTGTTTCAAAATTTTAAACAATTATGTTTAAAATAAATTTATGTTCGAATAAGAAATTAAACAACATTATAAAAATATGTGTTTAATTTTCCATAAGAATCCAACTAATATGTAAGCTAGAAGTCAGCTTCATATCCGTACATACATATGTACATATTATATCATAACCTACTTCTGTTTGAAAACAATTAATTACTTTACAGCCCCGACTCTGTTATTGAGGAACTTTGAACAGCGCTATCAATAATACCCCTTCTAATAGCCCCCAGAACGTGCTGGCGTAAGAAAAGCATGCGATCACCATTATCAACTTGCCGCACACGATTTTCAAATATTTATTTACGTCAAGTATTTTTCCAAGCGCACACAGTACAGTTCCCCTCCCACCCGCCGATACTGTGCTGATGATAACGACAACTTAATTAAGTTACTCAATAAACAGGGCTAAATAACAACAAATAAATGCTCAGCAGCACATGCTATGCGTACAGCCATGTTCGCTTGGTCACTCAAATGCTCGGATCACATGAAAGCAAACAAGAAAATTCTCCAAATCTGAGAAAGTGCTTCCTATTAACTATGTATGTATATGTTTTCTTTATTTTTGAAATTTTATTTTTAGCAAAATATATTCTGCGTCGACCGATCATTAGCGTTGCGTTCAATGCGCAGGCCCCCTTTATCGCCCCACTTTGCTGCTTTTCTCCCTCTCAAATCACACACTCACTGCATACAAACAAAACTCACTTTCAATTACCCCGCCTGCTACTCTATGGAATCTCACAACTACTTATAGCGAGGCATAGCATTCAGCGCCTCACGAGTCAAGCCGAGCAGCGCGATCGTGTGCTTTTATGATCGCTTTGACTCGCGTGCTTCGCGCGGCGCTGGCGCTGCGTTAGTTGTGGACTTCAGAAAACATGTGAACATCTCGTGTGAAAATATTAATAAGCTTAAGGCAGGCATACATATGTCCACACATTCGTATAAACAGTTGTACACATGTTTTCGAACTACTTAAAGTGGTAAATAATGCTGTTTGTAGTAGACGATTTCTAGTTTGCCCCATTTGTGAGTGTATGCACTATTGATATTCGTATGTTTACTTTTCAAACAGGCTGTTAAACTTCTTTTATTATCAGCTCCTCTTTAATGGAAAATTCTAAAGGCTATTTCAGGCAAAATGGATTTATTAAATAAGACCTGTTTATCATTTTTATAACCAGAATTGCGAGGTCGCTTAGGTAGCGATATATAGTTACACCTCGTAGGTGGGAAGGAGGATTTGAAAGACTGATGGCGGTGGAGCATTTAGTTAGTTTCTTGACTGTTGTTGTTGAATTATCATAGTTTTAGATTTTGCTACCGAAATTAGAGTCTTTTGTATTAAAATCGTTGTACAATCCAAGGAACCATTGAAATATTCTTCAATATCGATAGTACCGTCCGATACGATACCCTAGGATAACTCTTTCGAAGGATTCTAATACATTTCCATCAATTTGAAGTCTAACATATGAGTTCAAAGTGCTGAATATTGATCGCTTTCCTTTCAAAAAGGTTACATTTATGAGTTTTTCATAAATTTTGAATCTCTCGCAGAACTGTTAACTTTCTTTCTTACATATTCTCGTATAAATTTAATTTACTTATTTACTTATTGAATTTTAAGTTAAGAAACTTGTCCTTACCATATGTAGTTCATATTTCCGGTTTCGTATGCTGTAAGGCTAAAAATCTTGTCGGACACAAATTGTCAAAGTTGTAAGGAGGTAGGTGTGGTGCCTTTGAAAGACTGTAGTTGCAACATTTCAGCAGTCTTACCTTCGGCGAACGAAGAGATATAGCCGTAACTGGCATTGGCGAAATTCAAAGCACTTTGTCAATTAGCGAGGTTCTTATGATCAATTATATAGGACTTTAGGTACACAACGAAACGGTCTTCAAAGTGAGAAGTGAGATCGACTTCTTAACATAGCCTAACCTATTCCCTATTCTCTTCCACGTGGTCAATGTAGAGTTTTGCTCTCTGACGAACGTCTCACTTCACCTAACATAATGCGAGTATAAATATACATACATATGTAGATACATTTCGAGATCGAATTCGCATAGTAAGTATATTGGAGATAGTAACAAAAATAATTGTGTTAAAACTTGGTCGAAGCCAAAGTTCTATATTACATATATCGCTTCTAAAAGCAGGCGTCTCTAATAACACAATTTCAAAGCTTCGGTGGCCAAAATTTTTGAGTAGTCTCAGAAAAATATTATTTTAATTAAAAGAAAATATATTGTTTTTTTTTTGGAAAAAAATTTATTTGAAAAAAATAATTTCTTTGGAAAAAAGGTTTTTAATATCATTGCGAAGATAGTCAAAAATCTCTCGTAAAAATATTATTTTATTAAAACTAAAATTTTTTTTAAGGAAAAATGTTTTTGTTGTGAAAAACTTTTTCGGATTTTTCTTTTTTTTATGGGAAAAATATTTGTTGAATAAGATTTTTGTTTATAAAAAATTTTCTTGTTATTTTATTTGTAAAACTTTGTTTGGAAAAATATTTCTTCTAGAAAAAATGATTTTTGGAAAAAGTTTTTTTTTAGAAAAATGTGTAATTGCAATATATTTCTAATGTTTCTAATGTTTCTAATAAAAATTTTGTAGCATTGACTTTTTTTAACGATTGTTTAGAGACAGATTTTGAATTTTCCAAAAAAAAGCAAGTATTGCACATATTTTCATATCCAAAATATACATTTTTCAAAGCATTCTATTCGCTAATTTCCGTTTCATATCTAAGAAGAATTATATCCTCACAGCGTTTAATTAGCCTTACATATGGTATAAGCCATGCAAGCCAACTGTTGGTTAAAGAATTGGTTACTTACCCAAGAGCGCTACTTGAAATTACTGTTAAAGTTTCAATGAGTTTTCAATCAACAAACCGTTTAATACTTTCTTAAAAATAGGACTTAAAAATATCACGTGGTTATTTAAATTTCAGTAGTCGTGACTTGCATTCCAAAAGTTAATGAGCAGAAAGCGCTATGAGCCTACTTGCGAGCTCAAGTTCGCCCACTTCTTGATTATCGCCTTTCAGCCAGCTTATCTTCGAAATAAGCCTCTGTAAATATTTATTTACAATTTTCGATTGATTTGAGTCTGAATTCTTATTTCGAAAACTTGTTAACAGTATCAAAGTAGGCAAGGCCTCCCTCCAACCATTTAACATGGCTTTCCTACCACACACCCACTTTATATTATCATTATTATTAATAAGCATTGGCGATAAATGCGCTTTCGCAACAAATTTATTCAGCATGAAGCAAAACGATAATAAATGGGTCATATTATTAAATTGATTAACCCTAACCAATTACCCTAACAAATAATAATATACAAAGTACGGCGTGTATTGCATTGCGTAACATTTTACAAGGCACTCCAACAGCTGCAATCTCGACGAGCAATTACACTTGCAAATAGCGAATAGAGATATCACGCCAACACAAAGCGCCAAACGCCAAACGCCAAACGCCGGCAACGGCTGATAACCCAAATGCGAATTGAACGCTCGATCACGTGGAGAAATGCTGGCACAGTGCAAATATAAATATCCAGAACTGTGTGGGTGTGTGTATCTTAAGCTCATTGTGCTAGCGCGCCATTATCGCCTTATATACATATGTATGTACATATTGATGAATTCTAACATAAGTCTGTCAAGTGACAAAGCTAAAGCGATATTGTTGTGCTTAATTTTAGCACTCAAGGCGATCGCTGATCATATAAATTTGCTAACTGTAAATAAAATTGAACACGAGCGCGCAAATTGAAATTTATTCACCTACAAATCTAAAAAAAAAAAAAAGTTGTACATGTGCTGAAAATACACACAAGCTCACCACTGTGTGAAGAGATCGTGCTAATAAACGACCATCTACTCGCCGTAATCGTCTCTAGCGCCGCTGCTGGCCCACATTTCAACCGCTTCGGCGCTTACAACAAACTTCCAGCGAATTCGTTTACATGCAAACATATGTATGTATGTAAGTATGTTTACAACACATATTTGTTGGACCCACCCCTCTGTAAGAGCTTGCACGCCTGAGGGTCACTTCGGCCGACAGCAACGCGCTCTTCACGTGAACCACACGCGATCACGAAGCGTGTGAGTGGCGCACATGCTTGCCTGGCATGTAATTAAAACTACATATGTATCTACTATATGTATGTATGTATGTACATACATATTTGTAAGTATATGTATGGAGGTATATATGGAAAGTGTGTGTCGTAATGATCACTTAAATAGTTGAATTTAGTGGCACTAATCTTTTATTTGAGACTGTCTGTCAAAAGCTCGTAGTTGCCTGCTGATAAG